GAGCAGCGCCACTGCAGACTCTGCCAATAGTACCTGCGTAGCTGTAGTCACTGCATTGTGATCAGGACTGTTGAAGGCAGTTTGTCTGCTCCGGGGGTAAGAGCTGCTTGTTAGTAGTATTTGGGAAGCCTGGGGACAGGAGAGGTCTGCAGAGCAGGTGGAGAAAAAGAGGCGAGAGCTACTTCATGTGGTACCAATAAGGATAAGATCACCAGAGACACTGGACTTCTGCTGATTGATGCTGGCTGCCGAAAGAGAGAAAGAGGAAGGAGGGTGGCCAGGAGGAGGGGGGATCATTGTGTGTTTTTACTTGCATATGAGAAGCTGGGGCATTTGGAAATTGTATTGTATGCATGCATGTGTTGTCTCACCCAGCATGTGTGTGATGTCAGTAGTCTCAGTCAGCACCACTGAAGGTGGCGTTACTGCTGATGTTTTGGCTCTGTCGTAGTGCCAGCTGCTGCTTCCCAAAGCAATTGGGACTCAGCGAGGAGGGGTTAACGAGTACAGGAGGCTGACAGACTCAAATCTGAGTGTCGCTGAGGAGTCGCGATGGGAGTGGATCAGTGAGCCGGTGCTAACGCAGAGACAGGAGGCAAGCTTCTTGAGAAATGTTTCTTTGATATGTGCGCTTTGTCAGACGCTCAGAGAGCAGAGAAGAGATAGTAAGACGAGATAGTAAGATGGACAGGTGAGGAGAGCTCCCAGGTCAATGTTGGAGTCAGGACTGGAGTTAGATTTCCAAACATCGGCTTGTTTCATTCTTACCTTTTTCTTTCTAACTGAAGTTGGAGTGAGAAACTGAGTCTTTATTTCTTTTTGTCTCTCTTCATGTTTGCCATGCTGTGTCTGAGCTCTACTGAAGTTTATTTTTCCCCCTCTTTGAAGCCGATCAGCTGACTGCAGGTATCCCAAAATGCCCAGACACAGATCTGGAACAACATAAGACGTTTTTTCCTACAGTCTCCGTGTGTCATATAGTTTCATAGATTGATGGCATTGTGGACAAAAGCAAAGTGGGTTTTCCAGTGTGGTGGTGTATGCTTTCCCAACATATTTTAGTTTGAATGTGAATCTTTAAGCAAACACTGTTCAAAAGTGGGATGGTTAGTACAAGACAAACATTCGAGGTGACTCAGCATTTTTGAGTAAGCTGTCACAAACTTGCTTACATTGTACAACTCACAGGAAAAGTGAATATCTTAGTCCACCTATGCAATAAAGTAAAAGCAAGGTAAAGTTTGCGGTAAGTTTTACTAAAACTGTCGCACAAGTCGATCTGTTTGTACAAGTTTTTGCAAAATTCCCCCAACCCACACAAAATGCATAAACTAACCTGTTTAGTTTGTGTTTGGAAGCCATTTCAGTCAATTCAGAAATAGTTTGCATGTTCATTCAAGTTGTTTTAACAGCGTCGCCTTGGTCCCTGGTTTGATATTTCATCTGCCTCGTTTGGTCTGTCGAGCATTCTTGGAATCTCATTCAGTGAAACATTACAGTTATCAGTCTGCAGGATGAACTGCCACATCATGGCAAACAAAGTTTAAAATTCAGAAAGTAAACATGTTGGTAATGCACACCACTGAAGATGTTGTTTACATTAGAGTCATACCCCTCAAGGAGCTGCAGCAGATGCAGAAGCAGCTGGCTATTTTAGCCTTAATTTCACCCAATTTATTGAATCTGCTGAGTATCACACCTTCCTCAAGGGATTACCCCCTCCAAGTTCATCCACCTGTTTTATATTTGCAAAAAGAAAAGTTCTTTGGGCTTCCCTGAGGTGTCAGTACACTGAAA